CCAAGTGTGGTGCACTGCGATAACCAAAACAGCAGGGGAGAATGCCGTTGTCAAGACCCAAGGTCTAGAGTCTATATAGATGTCTGTTTGGCCTATAAAAGCGACCGCTTTCTGCACGAGAAAATTTGGCCAATGGGAGTCTTGAATTATACCTTTCCCTGTTAGGAGGTAAACGCCCAGGCAGTGAGCAAACAAAGTCAGCATTACAATAGTGCGTGAGAATAAGAATCAAACCCAAACAGGAAACTCCCCATGACCGGGATAAGTATCACACAAGCAATGAGATAGGGGAGAAGAATTTGCTCATGAAAAGGAAATAAGGGGAAATTCGAAAAGAACAAAAGCGATTGACCATAAATTCTACGATGTCATAAACAACATATGCGATTTAGGTAATAACGCAAAGCGGTTGGTAGTGTAGCCGGTGATCTGACTTTATTGCGAAAGCGATCCGAGCACCTCATTCGACACCTAATTTGTCACGATGAGTGCTCCACCTGTGGAATAGATGAAAGCGTAGAGGTAGACTGGACCAGTAGTAGCCAACGGTATCTAACGGGTCTCAACTTCATCTCAACCAGTGGTCTAACCATGGAATGAAAGGTATCAGCAGTATGCCGGCACACTGTACACGATGCCTCGCTGCCACGTGAACATCATCAGTCGGTCGTGGGCTAGGTATTACTGCGAGATCACCCTCGCCTACACTGGCCGACCATGGACAATCGTATCACCCTGAGATAATGAATGTGGAAAAAACAAACACAAAAATAATGCATTGCTAGTTAACCGGTGTGATTCGGATGTCAACAATGGGTAAAAGCGAGCGAGATTGCGCAAAATTCACCCATACAGTGAACTCGCTGTCAAAAATGAAGCAACCAGTTATCGGACATATGGAAAGTCGTTGGGCTGCACAGGATTATTGAGATGGTCTTTATAGCTCTATACACTGAACTGCGTAGCAAGGTTATCCCGATTTCTGCCAACGCATGGAAAAAACCCGAGGGGTTAGATACCAACCCTAGACAGGTGTGTGTACAGACAAGAGATGAGAGAGAGCTACAAGACAACACAATCGATCAAACAGATTACGGAGGCTAAATCGAGCTAAAAGCAATCGCGGCTCAGGAGACTGTAAATGTATGGGTGACAACCTTTTTATAGTGTTCCACTGTGGTACGCATGTTGCAGGTGTAGTGGAAAGCTGAATTCTGGATGAAAATAGGACGCCGTGAGAGCGAGAGAGGGGAGAGGGAATGCGCGGACGCAGACAGACAAAACAGAAGGTGGACACAACACCGTGTGAAACCAATTAGACAATCTCTGTGGAATGCATTACCCCAATGCTATTACAAAACATCGATAGGTGTGGAGACTGACCTGAAGCGAGGCAGGTCGAGGAGGGACAGCAGCAACACCTTGACGGCCATAAACGGGACCACTTACAATGGAAAGTGCGCCGGCGGCGCGTATCGAGGCGGCATCCGGATGTTCCATAGAACATTGATTCAATGCATTCGGGGGCAAAGGAATGGGCGAACTCAGTGAACGCTCGTGCGGAGTGATCATGCTGGGTGAAGAGCTGTGTATCGAAGAGAGCAAACCACGGAAGTGATGAGATGAGGGGGCAAGACGTTTGATCGACAAAACGGACAGGGAAGAAACAGGAAATTGAAACGCGTATGATAACCAATTCCAATTACCAGCATATAGGCATCCGCGACCTCAGACACCTGCCAGTTAAGTTGCGAAACAAATCACACATGAAAATGCCGTACAGTGACTAAGTTTGCAAACGTTTCATCACCAAAAGAGGTGATGGTGGAAATAAAGGAAGGTACAGTTGTCATAAAAAGAAAACCGAACACAACCCAGAGGAGCCTGCCGTTTCGTCAGAGAGCAAGATACTACCCGGTTGCGCAAGCGGAGGTAGGGTGTTGACTTAGGAGACACTACTCGGGGGCCTTGGTGGACTAGTCTAGCCGCAAGGCAGTGGGAAAATGGTTTGTAAGAACCACAGCGTCCTCTCCCTGGTTTCATCGCATACGGATGAAGGACATTGTCTCGATTGGAACAAAACAGAGGTCCTAGAACGTGAAGAAACAAGTTCCTGAAGCATCATACGGTACGAAGTAATCGATAAACATGCACATTGACACTGATCTAGTTTATCAAACGTTAAAATGGAGAAAACGAAAACGGCTTGAAAACCGCCGAGGGCAACCAAAGGAGTCATCAACAGCACAAGCTCAACAATCAGGGCGCAGCCGTCTCACGGATCTCCCGTATCTATCAGAGAGCACGGGCAAACGATTGAAAATCACGAGGCATAGAGCGAGGAGATCAATTCAGAAGTCACCTGTTAGTCAAACACAAATTGACGAATAAATTGGCGGACCGCATTCTACCCAATAACGCGCTGAGGAAGTCACCCCGTTTAGTGATGAAACGTTTGAACCAATTACGAAGCTGGACGTATGGGTGAAACCAAGAACGATCAACCTAAGTTATCAGCATTTCAAGTCATTATATAATAAAACGCCGTAAACAGAGAGGTCGAATGAGAATTCGTACGCAAGTCGTCAATAACTCATGGTCAGAAATAGCTCGGGTTATCGTGCAAAGGTAAGGTGGCACATTGAAGCATTAAATGCTTCGTGTGTCTTCATGAACGTCACCACACAGGTAGCGCAGTACCAGAGGTATTTCAAATAGACAGATTAGTCACCATGCCACAGACGGAATTAAGTAAAACACATCCAAGATGAGAATCGGATGCCCGTGGAGGTGTGACTGATTCAAGTTGGCATCCCGGTACGCCGATAAACAGTACCGACGCTTCAATGCTACGCAACCACTACCAGTCGTGCGTGGGCTAGGGATACCACAAGGATCATACCGTCCCCTACAGCGACTTTAACTCGCGACCTTCATAGGACACCTTTGGCCACGAACCCCGGAAGCTGTGTTCGAAACTGTGGATCTCTCGTAAGATTAGAGGTTGAGAACGTGCCTAGAATTGGGAAGGTAATGACAAAAACCGTTTAAATTAAAGTGTGGGAGCGAGAACGGTATGGCTCAGATAGAGAAAATGGGGTTCGAGGAATGGTCTGCCCCTGCCAAGCACTTAGACTGCAAGCAGCTTTCCGAGAGACACGGTCAAGCAATGAGTAACTGACGGGCATGTACTTTGTTAGAGGACATTGGGATCCGGAATCCGTTATTAGGTTGGTTATCGTCATACCTAAGTGGTTGCAATCAGATAGTCACATTAGGTGACTATCGCTCTCTTCGACGCGCTATCTCTAGTGTAAGCGAGCTCGGTCATTCGCTGTTTCTGCTTTATAGCAATGACATCAGAGGTCTGTAAAACATGGTCCAGCACTTTATTCGGCGATAGTATCATGATCATCTATAAGCTTCGACATGATGATTTTTAGGAAACGCTGTTTCTCATTCACGATGTCTTGAGGCCACTAGTGAATGATGAACAACATCTCGGCTAAGAAATCAAGCATTATGGCTTCCGGTCTGTTCCATCCCGGAAGGATCAAGTGTACACAACAATGAATATGTCTCCAAATGCGTGTCCAGGTGTGATCTCCGAATTACGTACTCGTAGACCATCCACTTTGTCCAAAAAGCCCCAATATCAAAAAGCGCCGCCCAGACAATTCGTGGTTATTATAGGCAACAAAATCCACACAATCTATGCCAGAAGTAAGCAAAAGATACGGCATAAGTTGGAACTGCTCTGGAGTACCTGCAGAAGTCGTTTACTAAACGTATGATTCGTAAGCTCGATCAGTATTTGTCAATCTGGGGCACTTGTGGCGTCTCATTCTTGCTAAAGGGCCGCCTTTACAACGCTTCAGTTTGCTCAGCATTGTTGCATGGGCATGAGTCCTGGCCGATTCGCGTGGAAGACATGTGTCGTCTTTCTGCCTTCTATAACGGTTGCTTAAGGAGGACTGCTCGTCTATGGTAGCAATATAGAGTTAACTGTAATGACGTTCAGCGTCGCATTTTGAGGAATGCGAGTATTGGCTTCAACAAACTGGTTTTGCTGTACCAGTTGAGATGGTTGGGTCACGTCCTACGCATGGCACCTGAGCGTCTATCGTTTGTCAAAGACCTGGCTGAAGGCGACCGCGTGGTGGTCAACCTTCCACTTGGCGGCAGCACATAAAATCGCTGACGTCGTGACTAGCCGCTGTTGGATCCGTACGTCTTCCAGGATGGGGATCCAAAGATGAGGAGTGCCAATGGCTTAGCACGCTTGACGAAATGGCCGGCTACCGGAATCAGTGAAAGAATTGTGAATAGTATTGTACTGATACACATGTTTAATACTACAAACATTGAAAATGGCAAAAAAGAGAACAATCGGCGTATGAGAAACAAACTAAAATGTTTTGTTCTACCTTTTGGTAAAAGGTCCCATTCTTCCTGCGGCATAGTAGCTGAAGTGTGTCGCTCATCTGCAACTACTATGCCACGATGAGTAAAACGCGGTGACTTTCCCTTATCTGTTAATCTCCATGTTTTTGTTGGCTCTGTATCAAGTTGCTAGACTGCTGAGATTTAAAAAAATGCACTATCATATTGAGAGCGTTTCAATAAACCTTAACTAGAACCCTTTGGATTCGACGATTGAAGTATAAGTTGTTGCTGTTTTACAATCTGCTACAAAGAAGGAACTAGTCCAATCTGCAACATAGCACACCTGGAAAGCCTCGCGAGAAATACCATATATTGGCTATATGAAAGGATGGAAGAAGTATGCATTCCAATTTCCATCTGGTCATATAAATCTATCAGTGGAATAAAGGGGCAATCCCGCTCAAGTTATGCGAAAGTGTGGCAAGACTCAGTAACAAACTCTCAAGTCACTTTGATCTGAATGCGACACTGAGCATACAGTAACGAGAAAAATTACTCAATGAACTATTCCAATAGGGCCAAACAGCATCTAACACCTAGGTTTTTGAACCGTGATTTTCGCTACCATTATATCGGTATTATGTGATACATATGCCTCAATATTGGTTGGCGGCATCCGGTTTCGGACTTGCCTGTCATTGTGGCCAGCCACAGGACGCCTGCGCCTACAGAGGCATCATGGGTGGCTTGCGCTACACCACCCACAGCTCCAACCACATACCCCATATCCAGTGCAAACCCGAAGGAATAAGACCGGGAGGCATGTGGATGGGGGCCACGTTTCATCAACGGAGCCGGCCCACACTCCTTCACAGGTAAACAAAAGCACACTGTGTTTGGGAATCAAGCGCACACAAGGCGGTGGCTGGACCGTAGTCCGCTCCACACTAAGTGCATGGAACCGCTCTTCGAGCCTAGCACGACCACAAGGACCGTGCACCACGTCCCTCCAGCAACGACCAACTGTCTCCTGGAGCCAGTATGGACGAGGTAGTGGGTAATAGACAGGTAGGCACCTTGTCAACATGCACATCAAGCACAGCTATTCACTTGAAACGACAAAATGAAATAAAATAAATCCAATAATGCATACAGATACGGTGGCATAACTCTTCGCTAAATTACCATATGAAGTAAATTGGTTAGCAACGAACCCGCGATAAGGAAAAAATGTCCACAAGTTACTTAAAAGTACTACAAACGCAACAAAGTTACCGAAGATAAGCGCAATTAGCGTAAGCAACGTGGCCAGCTAATAGAAGATTATTCAGATAAGCAAAACAAACCAAAGAAAGTGGAGTGAAATTTATGCAGCTTAAAGAGATGTAGTTTAAGTGTAAGTTGGTTTAGTCCAACTGCGGTGAAGAAGCATCAAGAATGCAACATCAGCCTCAGCATGGGGCCTCAATATTACACCTATGCTTATCGCCCGGAAAAGGCATGGTTACTCTTGTACCTATTGATCTGTGATACTATAGACACTTTATCGGATTATGAGAAGTATACATATTATTAGTATCATTATTAGTATGGTTATTATTGTGCGTTCACGACCAAAGTCGATGAAGATCATTGGCCAACGACTATCTAACCAGGATGATTGGGTTAGATTACATAAAACTGCTACTTTCAAACGCTGTTTGAATGAGCGATTGTTTTTAAAATCAGCAAAGGATGGATGGATGCAATTAAAACAGCTAAAACACTAAAATTACCCAGAGAAACGAAGCTCTCCAACGATCGAATCTCCAAGAGGACCATAAGGACTCCTTGTACGTAAACCCATTTGGATAGGACGAGATGCGATTAGATTGCTACCTGGAAAGTTGGACACCGGAGGAAGATTGGCTATACCGGGCGTGCAGGGAAAAGCACCACCGCCGGCCGAAAGCGCTGAAGCCACAGCATTGGTGATAGAGGTCGGTGGAGGAGAGACACCCAAGTCGGACGGATTCAAGCCACACAGCCGAATGGCCGTAATCAGATCCCTCGTGTTCACTCCGCAATGAGATGCGACATTTTTCTCACAGCGTTTGTGTATGTTGAGCCGACACACTTCGCACTGCAATCCCTGTCGCATGATCCCGAACAAGAATGAGCCGCAGTGATCACAAAATGCTGGCAGCATGAATGTGTGGATACGAAACTTGTGCGGCACATTGATGTTGAAACGATTCTAGAAAAAAAAGTGGGGTGTGGGACAACGAGAAAAACAAACGGAAGATAAAGCCTGGGAAAATGCAAGAACGCTGATGCCAGCATAATGAGTAAGGTGCACACGTAACGACAAAAATACAAATCGCAAAAACTCACAAAAGTAAAAATACCCCGGGGGATCGTCATGTGCAGCGAATAATGCAGTGCTGGTCTCCCGAGATTTCAGTTCAGTACAGCTAGTCAAGTATGGGTCACGTGCCGAGGTGGGCTAGATTCGGATGTCTTGACTCATGTCGTCAAAAAAAGAACGTATCACTAACACACAGGTATTCTATTCTGATGTTCTGTAGTGCAGGCCTATCCAGACCCCTAGAGGAATAAGGGCTGGAATTTCGGAGTGAATGGGCAATAAAAACCGTCAGAACAGTCAAGGACCAAAAATAGTTGAAAGAGTGCGGGAGTTCCACTGGCTTCATTGGGGATTCACTATGTTTGATTGGGCATCTACCAACGAGGTTGCAGATCCCAAAGATTTTACCAAGGAAGATGACAAAGAATAAACTAATGTAGCCTCTCGATGTGAGTATCTTCGTACTTAAATAAGGGTTCTTCCCGGAAGCATCCGTTAGATAGATTCCCAAACATCCGGAGAATCGCTAGTCGGTCACTTCGTCTTCTACGGATCAGGAACCAAACCCATGATCCCTCGACAGGAACAGCTAACGCCACTAGCTAGGAATTTACGCCACTTGATGCTTTTTTCTCTTACTCACTGGCTAGTCAACTGGAGTTCTTTTTTATAGAGAAGTTGGACTAAGAAGATAGTCCAGTCGTGGAACGAACCCTTGAATTAACGGGCACAGAATCAGATCGAATGATACGCATGGCGGTGATCCAATCCACGCCACCATGTGTGTGTGTGTGTGTGTGTGCAACTATGCAGTTCTTGTATATAGTCAGTGGCCAAAGCATCGGGGATATATGCCTATGGTGATCAAGTTGCTATAATTGAGAATGGTAGAAAATTGTACCTTCGTCTGTAAGAAAACTGAGTGTCTTGAGGTACCGATCGACAGAAAGAACAGAGTGAGAGCGATAACATCGCTGAACCCTAGAGACTGCATCGTGCTGGCATATAGTCGCACACATTTCGTTCGCTAACGCTCGACTCCCCCTACTACTCTTTTGTAATTAGTACGCAGACCAAACTGCTTATAATGCCAAAGTTAATTGGCGGCCTAAGTTTGGTAAGCTCGTCGCTTGGTGAGGGGGGCTATCCTGTCCTCTGCACGGCAGTAACGTGTAAGCCAATGGATGGTGAGTGGCGATATATCACATCTAGTAACTTATTTACGATGGTCGTTGCCGTGCCCCGTAGCTCAGTGGTCTCAACCACGTACTGGCAACAGTCGAGTTGCGGGTTCGAGCCGTACCAGAGTCCGATGGAATGCGCACTGTTGACGATTTCCGAAAGGATGAAACGCACGTACAGTGCTTTTCCGGGTGTGTGACGGCTGCCTGAGTGAGTCTAGATGGGACGAATTGCTACCTATAACATTCGACTCCCCCCCTCTCTTCTGTAATATTATGGTGATTAATCAGTCCCGTCTGCGGAACACCGAGGTGAACTTCGACGCAGCACAGAGCGTGTGTAAGACGGAACAACGAAATGGCATACAGAGAAGGTGATTTTTATATTGAGAAAACTGAAAAATTGTAAACCAAAAGAGAACGGCATAATGCTGGTTAGAGATGAACGGAACAGCAGTGACTTGGAACACGCGAAGGCAGGCTAGATGAGTCGGGGTAGTCGCTGGTCAACCCATGACAATAAAACTGTGGGGAAGCGGCGATTATACCACCGTCCGGATCAAGAGCGAAGTGCAGTTCACTCAGTGTGTAAAACGTGTACATCCAGGGACGGTCTCATAACAACCACTTGGTAGGTGTAAACAGCATTCAACACCCTGGTTACCCATCCCCTACGAGACCTGGATTGGATACAACGACGACTGTCAATCGGAAATGTTCCTCAAGGCTGAAATAACCCAGCTGTGAGCGTTGCCTGGAGCAGGCTCTAATCGAAGTCTACAAATGTGTTTCGAGCATGTCCACAATTTCAGTACACAACAATATCCTAGTTAACGGACACGACACTGTAAGTGAAACTTGTTACCTCAAGGCACACAAGCAAAGAGGCAAACATGAATGAATATTGCAACACGTGGTTTTTGTTACAGAGCACCTCGAAAGGTAAAAGCAGAAAAGATTTAGTAAATCAACTCCCACAAAATGGTGGCAGAAAAGAGGATAAGAGTCCGACAGTCTACTTCAAAGAGAGAACTTTAGTTTTTATTGTTGCATGCTTTTGATATTAGTTGGACACTTGTTGCTAATGATAGCGCTGATATGGTAAAACGTGCAATGGCACCTGGAATCAACTCACTGGTTGAACTGAGGCAGTCTATCGTTTGAAGGTCAGCGAGCGGCAGTTAGGAGGAACTTCTTCGTATGCTAATTTGTGCTATCCAGATTGGCACTACGTTGCAGTAAAGACCGTGGAAGATGGTCTGGACTGGAGGTACTTCGTTCGCATCGGCGGCGCAGGTTCGTACCGTACTTCGTCGACGTTGGAAGCAGTCACATCAACAGCTCAAGTGGACTCAGGACAGACCCGAGTAACAACTTGATCCACGAAACTGACTGAATGGCTCGTAAAAATGCTCGGGCCTTCATCCAAGCGGATGCGACAGAAAATGAATCAGTGTATCCAGTGATATAGGAGACAACATTGTGACGTCCCAAATGACTTTGGACCTGTTCGTCTTACGAGACCCCGTCATTCACCGAGGCTCTCGAGCAGCTCTCAGATAACCGACAAGGCGGTTGTTTTGAAACAATTTAGAAACTTCACATAATTTAATTAAGATAATTGGGGCTTCACAAAAATTCATCCCCATTCATATACCTGAAGCAGAGTGGGCAAGCGACCACTAAGGGTTTTGGGCGGATCAATGAAGGTGAATTCGATTCGCACTCGCTCGTTCGACGGTGGAAACTGACTTTGCTGCCCCGCAGATTGCACACACACAGTATGGAGAAGCAATCATGCTCCAGACTGAACATTTAAATCAGACTGGAAGGGTTAGAGTCTGATAGGCGCGCACAGTGACAAGGTGAGATCTGAGACAACCGCACCAAAAAGATCGGGAAAGTTACGATGATGTACGCTAGCGGTACATGATGGCGATGTCATCAATCTAAACCCGTACCATATAACTCGATGTGAGTGGTGGTTCTGCAAAGCGGTGATGAGTAGGTGAAGGTTCTGATTAATTCAAAGTTGAATTTAGCGAACCCACTGTGTGGTTCGGTTGAGACTCGCAACCTCCACATTAAGGTAAACCTCGGTCATTCCGATCGCGAGGACCGTATCCCGAATGGAAATATTTGGGTGTTGCCCCAGTGCCAGTGTTGGGAGGAGCAATACCCAAATATTTCCATTCGGGATACGGTGCTCGCGATCAGAATGACCGAGGTTTACCTCAATGTGAAGGTTGCGAGTCGCAACCCCAAATTCAACTTTGAATTGCTTTCTGTTGTGCCAAGCTTTGCTCGCGGATCTCAGTAGCATAGTGTTCAGGGCGTCAGCCGTGAACTACTAGGCTCTGAATTCCACCTCAGTTCAGGCTATCGCCACCTGATGAGTCCAAACCAGAACGAAGCCGCGGTCGTGGTGTGCCAGTGTTGGGAGCAGCAACACCCATCTATTTCCATTCCAGGTAGGGTCCTCGCGATCGGAATGACCGACGATTCCCTCAAAGTGAACCGAGGTCTCAATAGAGGTTGCGAGTCGCAACCCAACCACACAGCGGGTTCACCAAATTCAACTTTGAATTGCTTTCTGCGGTGTCAAGCGTTGCTCGCGGATCTCAGTAGCATAGTGTTCAGGGTGTCAGCCGTGAACTACTAGGCTCTGAGTTCCACATCAGCTGATGAGTCCAAAGCAGGACAAAAAAGGGGTCGTGGTGTGCCAGGGTTGGGAGGAGCAACACCCAAATATTTCCGTTCCGATTAATTCATCACAGCAGGAAAAAGCGGTTGCGATTATCAAGAAGATAGGCAACACCACCGAAACGACCTCTGAGGCGGCGTTCTAACTTGGCAGGTAACCAATTTCGCTGGTGATCATGCTACTTACAACGATCACGATGTCGGTGATTTTGATTATTCGGAAAAAGTATGAGGAGAGCTGTTTGCAGAAATCGTCTGTGACGGATTTTGGGATGTTATCGATGACGACGTAAGATGAAACGCTTGCCTTCAATCACTGCTTGTTTATTCCAGTTTAGGCAAACAATAGAGGAACACAGCCGACATCCCTCAAGAAGGTTTTCATCAAGCTACCACTCAATGGAGACAGGCGATCCCGATATCGTCTCCGCCAGTCCATTAAGAAAAGCTATTGTGCGGTCGAGCCAGTGCTATTTCACCAAGTAAAAAATTGTTCTGCAAATCCAATTTGGATAGGCATGTGGAATTCAGAACATGTTCCCCATAATCTGGTAGCAAAAGATCTTAATATTCTTGCTAGTTTCATCGTCCGATATTTCTTTGATTGTCCTCCGTTATACAGTGTACCAGAGTCCGATGACTGGGCCACGCGTTGCACACCGACGCACGCGACGTGCATTTGGGAGACCAGAGTTGTGTGCAGAAGTAGGTAGGGGAGGTCAAGTGATGACTTGGACAAGAGGAATAAAGGCCCTCAGTTCGAACCTGGAGTCGATTGGTGCTCGCCGACTGTCGGGCTGCGATCCCATGGACGATGGATGCGTTTGGCCGGATATATTAGATGACATGGCGAGGAGCCGAGGTCAGTGGCGTTTGTGCTGTGACTTTCTTTGTCGCCCATCGTCCCGCTTATCTTTCCCAACCACAAGCTCAGCATATCACCTAGTAATCTTATGTGTTCTATAATGCGTTATATCTCGTTTTTTCATGTACCTTATTTTTCGT